GATCATTACTCTATTAAATATTATAATGCGTGCTGATTAAACCATTTTGTTGGTTTTACTAACGAGAAAATGTAATTAAAAGAATTCTGAATTCTCTATATCAATTCATGTCTAATCATGCATGATTCGAATAATATATTCAAGAGCGCATTAAATATTATCTCATAAAGAAAAAAAGAAAAAAAAAGTATAGAAAATTCAGTTTGCGAGAAAAACTGAAGTTTGGAAATTTATCAAGTATACTAGAGAACTTGATAGAAATGAATAATCAGTGGATCGAAAATGTATAACAAAACTATTTCATAAAACGCTTAATTTTCGAGAAAATATTAAATTTAAATATTCATTCGGTACACGTGTGCAAATTCTCGAAAGAAAACGTATTCAAATTCCATTTTCTTAAAAACAAACCCTCAAATGGAAGAACTTTATTCTACATTCTTCAGTTATTTACTCATACAGAACAAGCTTCTGCTGATGTTTACTCGCACTCAGCCAATAATTACCCAAACTCGTGTGTACTAAACAAATTTTGAAACCTCAATTTTCTCGGAAACTAAATTTCGGTCGAAAAAGATTAGTAAGGAGGTAAAACAATCTTGGATATATCCATGTAAATCTTCTTCTGTTCTCTAACTTATTATCCATATAGGTCTACATTGTAGTAATTAGATTCAAACACAATACACAATGTATTTTTATAGTACACCATTATATGTTTATTATATGTTTATAAATATACGCAATACTATAAATACTATAATATATCATTATAACATACTGTCATGTACAATGAACAATACGCATTAATATATTATTAAATTTAAATGCCTTTTAACAAACGCCATCTACGTACATTCTACATCGATCTAAAAATTTCGAGTTTTCCCAGAATCCGTGTAGTTAATCACGGAGTACCGATAGGAGGACACGGAGAGACATATCCGGGGGGTCACTTTGAAACATCGTAACCGGTGGCGGTCGCGACGTGCCATCATTCCCTCGCGCGGGAATAGCGGTTATTTTTCCACGGGGCGCGAGACAGACGGAAAGACGTACGGCAACGGAGGGAGGGACATTAGCCATAAATTCGTAGGTCCCCAGTGGCGAATAGAGGAGAAGCCAGCGTGCCAATTGTATAAATTGGCTATGACAAACTTATCGTCCCGCAGGCATGCGTGCGTGCGTACACGCGCGTCGCAGCCATCCACGTAAGTCGCCAGGCTCTCTTCTCTCTCCCTCTCTCTTTCTCTCTCCCC